ATGGTTTTGGAAAGAGCGGCTCCTGAATATCTGTCATAAATAATACCGGTTCAGCAACAGCAGTGGGAGCCAACTGCTTTTGTTGCCCCCTGTTTTCTTTGTATTAAAATCCCACACCCAAAACTCTCAAAACAGTCAAATTGAAAGATCCCACAGACTTTTAATTTCACAACCACTTTGGTTGCTTATAGTTTTAGACTTTTAGTTTTAGTGTATATATATGTGGACATAATCATCTTTTGAATATACCAGAATCCACCAAAACTAGCAAAAATTTGTCACTTGAAAGGAGAGTTTTAGATCTCAATGGCATCTTTGGTTCTTCTATTATCTGAGCTTCTTCGACATGAAAATCTTGACAACCTAATGCAATTACCTCCTCCTACTCCTTCTTCTTCTTCCAATCTAAGTTTTTCCGCCACCGCCACCTCCGGTGCCGCTGCTCCGCCATCTTGTGCCACCAAAGTTACCGGCAGGAGGTCTGCAGGAGGTTTGGCAAACAATTGTAAAAATGTGCAATATCCGTTTCAAGAAGATCTACCTAGGGTCTGTGTTGACCTAGTTTGGCCTTAGGATACTAATTTTATGCATTCAACGGTTCTGTAATTATTTTTCTTCGCAAATTCCATGGTTGTATTAGCGTTGAAGCTCTTACAAATTTAACATTTTGCAGAAGTTATTACAAACTTACAATAATAAATTCTTATTTTTAGGTCAAATCTTATTTTCGTTACCTACCCCATATTTTAATTACAATAAAATCGAAAAACTTGGTTTATTTTTGCATTTAAGCTCGTAAGTTTTTTAATCTTATTGGTGTCATTAAAATCAATAAATTCGTACATCTTGCCTGTTGGGAAATAAAACAGATCGATGTGATAAATATGACACGATATGAAGTATGTGATCGCAAACAAACAATAATATACAAAATAATTAATTGACAGAAAAACATAGTATTTTATACAATTGATTAATATGGAGAAAACAAAATGCAATAACTGTGCCCACACAATTATTCTACATTTCAATAATATAAAACTTGTGAAGAGTCTGGTATTTATAATGATCAATGTTAAATTCTAGAAATACCACAAACATAAAAATAAGATAAAAAATCACGTTGAATAAAAGAAACAATAATACAAAGAAATAAAAAATATCATCTCAAAAATTTCAACCTAATTTAGGTCAAAAAATGGAACAATCTCCATCTTAATACAAATTCTGATATAACGAAGCTCTAAGATTTCTCATGATGAGCATAGTCACCACCAACACAATGGGCACTGGTGATTTGATTTTTACTTTTAATTTTTTCCCCGTGATTTGAAATCTTTGATTCAATAATAAATCTATTGTAAGGTGAGTCACCATCGGTCTTGCTCAGGTGGACGTCAGGGTGTCATTGGCATTTTGGGATTAATGCAAATGTACGAAGGGTCGATTTTACAAAAGTGTTATCGACTCTCAAGGTGGATCCCGAGCTGGATCCACCTGATTAAAAAATAATTCGATATTTTTTTCGCCTCTCCCATATGTGTATATGTAGGGCTTTTGCTAATATAGCACGGTTCGGCATTTTGAGGCCAGACTAAGCCCCGGGTTGATGTTGATAACATGGTTGCTAAGGTTGGGTTAGTGGTGATAGGATGTTTGATTGGTGGTGGGTCTGAAATGTCGTCTTTATGCTTGGTGGGTCAAAGAAATTTAGACCATTCAATGGCCTTGGATTTAGAGATTTCTGTGACATAAGGGATGGCGTGGTGTGGGTGGATAGGGTGGCCACGTGGTCAAGTCACGTTATTAGATAACATATGTGACTATGACCTTTTTTTTGATGAGTTACGCTGTAATTACGGGGGAAAAAGTCACGGAATTATTCCAGAAAAGACACAAACATGTGGGGCCCGATTGTTTTAACATATTTAATTCAGGTGGGACCCACATCACATGTGAGTATCTATATTTTATTTGTGAAAAAATCTTATGTACATTTAGCATAATTCTTTTTTGATAAGAAAGATGCTACATATACAATGAAAAATGCTAGAACGCCAAGCGGCAGATTTTCATTGGATTTTGCACAAAAAATATATTTAAAATAATCAATCAAAATTCGTCACATAAGCATCTGACAATTTTCACGACATTTTCTCTTGGAATCATGCTACAAATACATTAACTTTGACATCAACTTTAACATTATGCCACGTGTCGGAGTATGATTGGACAATTTTTAAACACCACACATTTTCCCGTCCATTTGATTTTGAATTCACATGCAGTATCAAACTCTATGTGAACCATGAAATGTACAACAAGTCAAATTCTTTCCCTTGTACAAGTAGCTTTACTCTTTTGATAAATGAGTGTAAACCATTGATTGTATAATTTGTGATTTTAGTATGTGATTGTGATCTATAAATTGTGTGGTATATGACTATAACATTATCTGATTTGTGACCTAGCATGTTATTGTGACCAAAATTGTGTGATATTTGACTGTGACTGTTAATTTTGAAAATGTAATCTTAAACTATTGTGGTCAACTTTGTTTGAGTCTCTTTTTATAGGTTAGTAGATTTGGGAATTGTGATTTTTGGAGAATGCATGGTTAAAATGTAGGAAAATTTTTTGAATTTATGTGTAAAATTTTATTGAAAGACTGTATTATTGAAAATGAGTTTTAGAAAAAATGGGCCTAAACAAGGAAAGTTCAATGAAAACGGCAGTTCGGAATTTTGTTACAAACAATATTATTTTATTTCTTCTTCTGATTTTATTTATCAAAAACATTCGCCACTAGCAATAAAGAAACGATATGTGGAATTTACACATATCCATGCCTTTTAAATTCTCAATTTAAAAATTAGATTAGAAAGTTTTTTGTTCAAAAATCAGATAATTTAACCTTCTTAATATTATAAAATTAATTTAATTTAATTCAACACCCAAACCCATACCCATACCCATACCCATACCCACACCCACACCCACTAACAAAACCTTAATTCTTTTTTTTTTTTTTACTGTTTCATTTTTTTCCCACACCCGCCCCACCCCTTACATAGCACCAATGATAGTTGCACGATGATAGGCGCATCATCAGCGACAAGCACATCATCGACGACAGGTGCATCAGTGGTGCGATTTGTTTCTTTCTGGCACAATCTTTCTCTTTCTCTCTCCTTTTTTTTTTTTGTCTTCTGCATCTCTTTCTCTATTGGTGTGGTCTGTTCGAGCCATATTGTCGCGCTGTTGTTTACCGTTCGCAGGCGCTGCCGATGGTGTTGGTGGTGCACAGGTGGTTTGCGACAACGTAACGATGTTCGTGGTTTATAGTAGCACTGGCAGTGAGGTGTCGGTATTGTTATTGGTGTTGTAGTGGTGGTATTGGTGTCTATGGTTGTGGTGGCAGCAGCGACAGCATCAATGGCAGTGGTGGCGATGGAGTGGGCCGAAGAGTTTGTGATCAATTATTTGAGTGTTATGATCTATAAATTGGTTAATTTATTATCAATAAATAATATGTGACTTATAAGAATGTGTAATTATGACTAAATTTGAAATTGTGACTTAGAATTCGATAAGTTGTGACCAATTAATTCGATAACTTGTAACTTATAATTTTTTTTTAATTTGTGACCGATTAATAAATATTGACTTAATAAAATTTTTGTTTTGTAATCAAAAAATAATTTGTGACCAATAATGATTTTTATTCGTGGCCGAAAAATAATTTGTAACCAATTAATTTGCTAATTTGTGACCAAATTATATAAAATTGTGACCTTAATATATCTAATTAATAAATATATTTTTAATTAATTATTTCATTAATAAAATTTAATATCATTTATTTTTTAAAATTTTAAACCTCGTTTCATAATTTTAAAATGGGTAATAATATGAAACTTTCCCAAACGATATTGATAACTTGAATCTCAAACCCGATAACCATGCGTTGGAGGTGTAAAATGGATCAGTTTGGGCCACCTATTAAGCCCTAACACAGCCCACAGTTTTTGGTTTCCTGTGTCCAGCCATCAAAATAATAAGCTCTGAAGCCCAACCATTTTCAAGAAAACAATTCATTATAGTCCCTTCCCATTTGAACAGAACATTGTTACAACATGCAAAACAACAAACAGTACATGAAATTTCACTGATATCCCGGAAAGAGTCATGCGAGTCCATATCCAGCCACAAAAAAACATGACAGACAATGGTTATCCATGTAAAGTTTCATAAAATGTTGCATCGATCGAGTCAAGATATCATTAATTATTTAATCGAGAGCGAAAAATGTGAGACTGATTCGGACACGTCGTGTCTATCGAATTTGGCACGATCCAAGCATTCATGTGGCCCGTGCCAATGAAAAATTCTATAGTTGTATAAATCATGTCAAACACTAACGAATATTAATAAAATTTGAAAAATAAATTTGTCGGGCAAAAAATTGGTTGTTCGGTCGAATCAATTAAGAGTTAATATGCACTTAGGTCCTGTTTAATTGCAATGAATTTCATGGAAAATGTTACATCCAAGAAAAATAAATTTTATTTTGACCATTTGATTGCAACGTGAAAATGAAAATCGAATTCTAAGATATAATCACTTTAAGCTGCATTTTCTTTGTTTTAATGGAAAACGAATTCCTATAGATTTGATAAGTTTTTATATTCCAACTAGTATGTAATCGGAATTCCTTTCCACATTTGTTTATCAAACGGACCCTTATAGTATAATCTCAGACTCATAACATTTTTATTTTTTCTGAAAAGTAAAAAAAAAAAAAGAAAAACAAATGTGCCTCGGAAAACTTCTACAACCAAGCAGCCAGCCTGCAAATTGCCAAATACAACGTTGCTCCTGTGCATGTGGATCGATGTGCCACGTGTCCAAACCCAGTTTATAAAATTCAAATCTAAGAAACCCTTATCCCCATAATAATTCCGGCATGCAACCTTTTTTCTTCAAAGAAATTGCAGAATATGCCACTTGGAAATTGGAAACTCTATAAAATCTCTACCTCTGAACCCCTTCTATCAGGGTTGAGCACCATGGCTTTGTTTTCAGCAAAGGCACTTGTGCTTTTACACTTCTTGGTTATATGTAGCGCTGAGGTTGAAGCTGTGAATGCCGCTGGGCAGCTGCCGTACTTTCCTTCGGCTGAAGCCCCAGCACCGTCGCCGAAAGGTAACCACCACCACCATCCTAGCCACCCTCCCACTCAGCCACCTGCTAAGCAGCCTCCTACTCACCCACCGGTTAATCCTCCAACTCACCCCCCAAGCTACCCTCCCACCAGGAAATATGTGGCTGTTCAAGGCGTTGTGTACTGCAAATCCTGTCAGTACAAGGGGATTGACACTCTCATGGGAGCTTCTCCTCTTTCAGGTGAGTTGGAACTTCTTTCTGATATAGTTTTCACTCGTTAGGTGAAAAAATAAGTTTAAATTTCAGCCAAAAAGGCTTTTCTTTAGCTAAAGATGCTCATTTCAGTTTGTGTGCCTAACACGTTCTTGCTGTTACTCTATATTCCTGTATACATGCGCAATTATACGTTAGGAAACACCTAAAAAGGGCTTAAATCAAGAACTGCATCAAACTTAAAATAAAGAGTATGATTTTGTTCTCTACTGTCAATAGAATAATAACATGCAAGAAATCTTGGATACAAGAGCACTGGCAGTGTGAAGTTTGATTTGACTTCGAAAAGACGAAACTAGCGGTGGGAAACAGACATCAGGTATAATTTTGGCGTTTTCTCCCGTGAAATCTCATGTTTGTATGCTTGTACAGGAGCGGCGGTGAAGCTTCAATGCAACAACACCAAGTACCACCTGGTGGAGCAAGTCACGACGGACAAGAACGGGTACTTCTTCATAATGCCAAAGATGCTGACAACAGCAGGATCCCACAAGTGCAAGGTGTTTTTAGTCTCTTCACCCATGGCCAATTGCAGCGTCCCTACCAATCTGCACGGCGGAGCTGGTGGCGCCATTCTGATGCCCGCTACCAAACCGCCAGTCACGGAGCACCCGCTTCCCTTCCAGCTCTTCACAGTTGGGCCTTTCGCCTTTGAGCCCCACAAGAACGTGTCGTGCCATTTCTAGTTAATAGGATTTGAATTGGTTGGTGTACTCTATATGTGGTTGCGTGTAATTCTCAGCTTTGCTTTAGAATCTTTAGATAACAGTGCTTTGAACTCCGATACTAGTTTGCATTTGGTGAGAATGATATTATTAAAATTTTGTAATAAAAATGAATGCATGAAGAAATGTGTGTTGTGATTCGTATTTGTGTTGAGTACTGGAAAATTAATTGTTCTTTTAAGGTAGATGCAGACACTGTTGCGACTTTTCATGCAGGTAAATTATGGGGGACTCGTTTTCACTTTTTCTATTTCTATGTATTGTGCCTGCAAAAGGAACCAAGCATCTTTTTGGTCACCCACGAGTATTTATCTCCGTTGGTTGACTGTATTCATCGGATTATTTAAAATACATTATTTCCTCAATAATATTCATCAAAACATCCTCTTAATATGCACTTCATTGTCTACAAAAGTTATAAAACAGCTACGAACAACGATTTTCAATGAATGAAGATCGATGTATGTCAAATACGACATAAAGACACCATAATAGTACATTGAGTGTTCAAATTGAAAATAGAATGAATCTGCATGTTCATGATAATTTCACAGGTTTTTGCACATGAAGATAGCTATCTTCCTGAAATTTCTTGTACTTATAGCCTTGTTCTTGAAAATATTGTGCTACTCGGTACGACTACTGTATTTAAGGAACAAATATTATGTACTTTAGCCCCTTCTAGAAAGACCCCTTGGGCTCCACTAGGAGACACTTATGCTCCTTGGAGATCCTGTGCTCCATAGACATGTGATCACAATTTCGGGAGATCTCGAACCCAGTAGTCTCGAGTGTGCAAGAAATTGAGGGATCTAAATGTCATACCAATCTTTTATTCCACATGCATGAATTTCCAGAGCAATAGTGAACATAGTATGGCGTGTCATAAACATCAATTAGCTCCATCGATTCAAACTCTTGCATGCATTCTAACAAGCTTCTCTAGCACAAATCATCAAACAACTGAAAGGATATTTCATCCAACTTCAATAAGCATATCTTGAATCACATAATAGCATTGAATGTGCAAAATTCCAACTCATTTTTGCATATTGAACACAGAGATTACACAAAGCGTAATTTACTACAAATTTACTTCTCTTGTTGAAATATGAACATCCTTCTTTGTTCGTTTCTGCCCATTGTTTGCGAATGTTTTCTTAAAGCTGGATTAAAGAGTACTCTTTATTGATTAAAGAGACTTCCTTCCCTCATAGCCAAAGTCTTCAAGAATTTCAACTCCATTAATGACACCTTACCTTCTTCATTAATCACTAGAAGTTTTCTCTAAAATTTCTGTACTGTCTGGGAGTGTTGGAGAAGTTGAGGGGCGTGTGTGTTTAAAGGGAAGTTGGTGAGTGAAAAAAGGTAGGTCTTGAGGTAGAAAGTTTATAGAAACTTTTGCTCATCTATAATTGTTAAAATTCAAATTCAAATATTCAGCAGATAAGGATAGCTGAAATTTGTTCTTCACCAAATCCAGATGTTGATATCTGTTTGTCATGTTATTTTGAGTTTTGTATTTGAATATGTTAACTACTATAGATTATGAGAGACTTTAGGAAGGTAGTTTTCGATAAGGTTGTATATATACAAACATGTGTAAATGATTTTGATATAGAAAAGTGAATTATTCCTGTAACCATGAAGTTCAAATGATTAGCCACTTTTCATCAACAAAACAGAAAGTAAATGTGCAAAAAAAGGACAAGAAAAGATAAAGAACATGAGATTTTTCGCCCTAAGGCAAGAGGTTCAGAACAAAGTTCATAATCCCTTTTTGAGCTTCCGTCAACCGGAAGAAATCACTATATTATCAAGAATCAAACCATGCTCAAGGATTACACCAGACACTCAGACGAATCACAAAAGATTACATCGAAAAAGGAGAAACCCTCTGACTGATCGAAACAGCAAACCACTCAAGGATGCAATATTAGCCCTTTACAAATCACTCAAGATATATACAAGGACTATACAAAAAAGGATCTAAAGAAGGCTTCCAAATTTAGAGTGCAGAATAGAGACAGCGAGAGAGAACATAGAGAGTTCGAGAGAATGAAAGAATGAACAGCCAAGCCAAACTCAAACCTTAGTATATGATAAGTCTCCAGAAGGTCTCCATCCAACAATCATTGGGGCGACACTTGGCGACATCTCAACCGTCTAGCTATAAGTAAAAAGGTTTTGAAGTTAAACGCACTTATAACCAAACAGAACGGAAGCCACCAAGTAATAAGAATAACAGTCCAACAAGCAAACCAACAGATCAGCCCAATAATACAATCAGGTCCAATTAGCTCATCATTGTGCCAATTCTTTACAATTCCTTGTTCTCCAAGAACAATCAAAACTTGCCTCTCGTTTTTTTCATGGTATTAGAGCAGAAATTTGGACAAATCATAGTCAGAGTTTCTTGTTCCTGAGGTCCTTCATTTCTCATTCCAATAATCCCTACGAACTTCGGCTAACCTGAAAACTCAAACATGACATAAAGAGGCAAAGCAACAAAGGTTCTTGAGAATGAAATTGACCATTTTCACATTCACTATTCTGATCATTCAGGGGCAAGCCTTGTTACCAAAGCGTTGAGTGGTGACAACTATGCTACCGGAGTCGTTCCATGTCCATAGCCTTGAGTGCTAAAAATAAAACTGGTTTTGTTGATGGTTCAATTGAAAAACCAGCACCAACAGATGAAAAGTTTGCATCATGGAAACTATGTAACGACATGGTCCTTTCTTGGATATTGAACTCCATAGACCCAAATCTACGAGATATCATCATTTATACCATATCAGCAACTGAAGCTTGGAAGGATCTGAGAGAGAGATTTTCTCAGAATAATGCTCCAAGAGTTTTTCAAATTGAAAGTGATATAGCCTTTCTACAGCAAATAAATCTTTTTGTTGCTGCTTATTACTCAAAGCTGAAAGCTGGCGTCCTACAATGATTTGCATGTATGTACCCGTGGAACCTTGAAAAAGGTAGAAAATGAGCAAAAAAGCAAACTCATGAAGTTTTTAATGGGGCTACATGATTCTTATTCAGCAATCAGAGGACAAATCTTTGTTGCGACATAAAACTGGTCATCATCATCTAAATCAGAGAAAGAAAAAATCATCAATGTCGTGGTGTGAGAATCAGGACCAGACATTTGTTGCTTCAAAAGAGATGGAAAAGTATTTCGCTAATTACGTGTGATAATCTAACCACTACAAGAATTTCGGGGAGATGGGGCAAAGATGGAAGTGGAGAACAGAAAGACTGGAGAAGGCAGCTATGGTGGTGGCGGCGGCGAACGGTGAAATAAGGTGGCCGAGGTAATGATGGATTTGGGAATGAGAGAAAAATGAATAGGTGGGTGATAGATACATGGAAGTTATTGAGGAGAGAGGGGTATAATATTTTTTTTAGCCCCGCTTCACGTAGAGTGTATTTAACATTGTATTTGACACTGTGACGTGGCAAGTGGAAAAAAAAAGGCAAAATTAATGAATTCATTTTGAAATCCAAACCCATTACCTACCCTCGTCATTCTAACCTGTCTGGCCAGAGAAAGCGAAAAATTGAAACCCTAAAATCCCCTCCATTGATTCCACCGAGCTAACGTGGAGTATCCGCCGACATAGTAACTGAAATCGAAAAGGTCGCCTCCAACTTCGTCGACCGTTAACCAGTAGGTCGACCGGTCCTCCGTTCCTGTCGCGAACTCTATTTTGTGTATTGAAATTATTCAGGCACAACCGGTGTTGTCGTCTCCGGCTTAAACCGACCAACCACTTCAGAAGTCGTCGAAGCGGTAAGTACGATGAAGCCTGAAGGTTGAAGTTTGTATTTTTGAGTTCGGTATATTCATGCTCTGTGCTCTGTGGTGTTACGATGTAAATAATCGGGCAATTATGCGTCAATTTAAGGTTGATAGAGACATTGGTAGTGTGCAACAGGTAGAATAAGGTGTTGGGTCTCATGTTAGTCTCTTCGAACAAACCAATTTTGCTCCAGCGTTTTGAGTTTGTATGTGTCTGGCTGTGTCTGTGCGAGTGAAAAAGAAGAGTCAGCGAGTATAATTCCCTTTTTTTTTAAACATACATTCTTAGGCCTTTGAATTACAGTGCATTTGTAGTTTGTAGTTAATTGTTTAGCCCGTTTTCTGGTTCATTGTTTTGCCCGTTTTGTTTATGCCATTGAATTACAGTGCATTTTCAACCATTTTGTTTGTTTAGGTGGTATGAGTGGACAGAACAAAGGCATTTGTCATAGTTGTAGGAGGCCTGGACACTTCTTGTTGGACTGTCCAAAGAAGAAACGATGTCCAAATTGTGGTGAGGGCATCGAGAAGTGTATGGAGGTCGAGAAGAAAACAAAAAACAATGGGCGATTGTTTTATTGCTGCACTAGAGATTGCGGCCACTTCAAGTGGTTAGATGAAGATGAGCCCGACAGTGATTTGTGTCAAAATCTCTCGAGCATGTTCAACAAATTTGCTGAGATAACTGAAAAAAGAGACGTGGAGATATCTGTCAATATCACCATGCGGAAGGGAAAACGAGTAATGGACAATGGCGCGACAGAACAATGAACCATTCGTAACAATGTATGAGTCCACTGCTTTTTGTTGGAGCGCTCCCACTCCATTTTTTGTACTCAGCCGCCACATGTAGTGACGTGTAATGGGATCTGTTTTGTTGTTTTGAACGATTATAATGTGTAAGTTTAATGTCAAATATTTTGTTAACGTAATAGTAATTCGTATGTTGTAATCAATTGTTGTCTATCAGACTGAAATGGATGTCATATGCAGTTTAGTGCTACCAGAATTTAGTGCCCGAATCACAATGAGGAACCATTAGTAACCATTTTGGGAAATTCACCTGCAGTTTACTAACCAACAGTTGCCACTAAATAGAAGAGAACATAATCTGAATTTCCAAATGAAGATCGAAGAAATAAATGATCAT